AGCTTCCGGAGTTTGCCCAAGTTCATGTCCGTTGAATCGGTGATACCATCCAACCATCTCATCCTCTGACACCCTCTTCTCCTTTGCCCTCAGTCTTTCCCAGCATCAGGGTCTCTTCCAGTGAGTCAGCTCTTCATAGTGATCAGGTTGCCAGATGATTGGAGATTCTGTTTCAGCATCATTCCTTCCAATGAATATTCAGGGTTTATTTGCTTTAGGATTGACTGGTCTGATCTTGCTGTCCAAGGGACTCTCAAGAGTCTTCTGTAGCACCACAGTTCGAAAGCATCAATTCTTCGGTGCTCAGCCTTCTTTATGGTCCAACTCTCACATCCATACATGACTACTGGAAAGACTATAGCTTTAACTATATGGACCTTTGTCAGCAAAATTATGGCTTTGCTTTTTAATACATTGTCTGTGTTTGTCATAGCTTTCCTTCCAAGGAGCAGTCGTCTTCTAAGTTCATGGCTGCAGTCACCATCCGCAGTGATTTTAGAGTCCAAGAAGAGGAAATCTGTCACTGCTTCCACCCTTTCCCCTTCTATTTGTCATGAAGTGATGGGACAGGATGCCATGATCTTAGTTTTTTTAATATTGAGTTTTAAGCCGGCTTTTTCACTCTCCTCTTTCACCTTCATCAAGAGGCTCTTTAGTTCCTCTTTGCTTTCTGCCACTAGAGTGCTATCATCTGCATATCTGAGGTTGTTTATACTTCTCCTGGCAGTCTTGATTCCAGCTTGTAACTCATCCAGCCCAGCGTTTCGCACGATGTGCTCTGCGTGTAGTTAAATAAGCAGGGACTATAAACAGCCTTGCTGCACTCCTTTCTCAATCTTGAACCAGTCAGTTGTTCATACAGGGCTCTAACTTGCTTCTTGACCAGCACACAGGTTTCTCAGGAGACAGGTAAGATGGTCTTGATATTACCATCTTTAAGAGTCTCTCACAGTTTGTTATGGTTCACACAGTCAAAGGCTTTAACATAATCAATGAAACAGAAGTAGATGTTTTTCTGAAATTCCCTTGCTTTCTCTTTGATCCAGCGAATGTTGGCAACTTGATCTCTGGTTCCTCTGCCTTTTCTAAACCCAGCTTGTACATCTGGAAGTTCTCCATTCACGAACTGCTGAAGCCTAGCTTGAATGATTTTGAACGTAACCTTATTAATATCTGAAATGAGCACGATTGTATGGTGTTTGAACCTTCTTTAGTACTGCCCCTAGTTTGAAGAAGAAGAAAAAAAAAAAAAGTTCCAGCAGGTTGCAATTCTGCCCATCCCCAGAAGAGGGAAGCATTGCACCACTTAATACCCTGCAAGAATGACACCCAAGCTCCTTATTTCTGCCCCTGCCGCTCCTGGAAGCTTAAAGCTACTGATTTTGATCATCCTACTGATAATCTTTACCTTTGGGATCCAAATGATTCCCTCCCTTCTTCCATCCCAAGGATATATTTTTTTATTTCTATTAAATAAAGAGTGACCAAAACCATGTACTAACAGTGAGAAAGAAAAGGAAAAACCTCAAAAACCAGTGCACAGGGACACTAGAGCCTAAGATGGTAACAGCAGATTCATCCTCCTGCCACGGAGCCCAGCAGGAAGAAAGTTGCAGTGTGTCTCTGTGTGAGGCAGCAGCATGTAAAATTATTTGAGGAAGATTCCTAAAAGAAGAGCTAGTACTCAAAAATGTGCACCCCGGGTGTGTGCAAAAAATCGGCCCCGTTGAGCCCACCAATGCCCAGTGAAGGCCCCACCGGGTGTGGGGGAGGCCGCCCCCGCACGTAGGACACTCATTCAGTTTGCTGTGTAGCCACTGTCTTCGTCTGCCCAGTAAAAAGTAACCATATGCTTTTCTCCTTCTGTTTTAAAACTGTGTTGTATCTTTTGTGTGATGAGGTTAAAATCCAGGTGCCACCCCAGATTGGATGGAAGGCACAGATGGCTTCAAACATCCATGTCTTCCTCCCTCCATCCTGCCGTCCGCCTGTCTGTTCATTTGTGTTTGTTCATCCATCATCCGTGTTCTGAACATGTTTAAAGAGCCTGTCATCCGTTGAAAGAGTGCTAAGCGCTGAGACAGATGAAAGGACAAGACCATAGTCCTTGTCACGACGGGGGTATGGCGGCGGTACACAGGTATTTATGTTGTAATCAGCACACAGCCTGGGCATGCTCTTCATGGCCAAGCGTGCTGGACATGTCAGGAGCCGAAGGAGAGTCCAGAGCCGTGTGCAGGGGAGACAGGGACACCCACCGGAGAAGGGGGTGCCTGAGCTCAGTGGTGAAGGGCAGGTCCGGGTTACCTTAGGAACTCAGGCTGAGATGGGCATTCCTGCTGAGTCCTAGGGCGCATGGCCCGTTCTGGGAACAGCCAGTGTCCCTGGGGCCTCTGTGAGGGCCAGGGGCATTTAGGTGTGAAGGCAGAGGCCCAGAGGGCAGACGGGGCTGGTGGCAGAGAACGCTGCAGACTCAGTCTGTGGGTAGAGGCCCTTGAGCTTCCTGGGGAAAACGCAGATCTGGGGTCTTGGGCATCCAAACCCCAACCTGCCTGGATACAGCTAGTGTGGCCCAAGGACACTAGGCTCCTCATGGTTCTGTGTTCTGTATTCCTGAGAAGTGGGGACCACAGACACCGTTGCTCCCCCTTAAAGGTGCTTCTGGGTTAAAATGCAGCCTGAGATCCAAGTGCACTGTATTTTCAGATCATTTTTCGTATCACTTACATTGTCTGGGAATCTTCCTGGGATGTGGTACAGAAGGATGTCATTCTGCCAGTGGTGACATTGCTGGTGGAATGTCTGAGAGGTGGAAGGAAGGCAATTTTGTGACTCAAAGAGCTTATTATTAAGATAGTTTTTGGAGCCAGAACAATGGGGTGACTATTTTTCTGCATGTACGTCTTCCAAATTAACATGGTACCATGATGGACAGGCCCTGTTGACACTGAGTAACTTGACTAATTTCCACTTAATGTTAATTATATTGGGTCTTTTACACCTTACCAGATACCCCCACACACACATACACACACACCCCACCAAACTCACATGTGCACACACACATATATACACATGCTCATAACAGGATTTTAAAACACAGAGACCAGGGGTCCTTTTTTCCTAGCTGACCTTCATCTCTTTCTCAGTCATCCTCTTTGTTCCACTCCATCCCTCTGAGTCCACTGGAGAATTTCCTTTAAACCGCGTCTGTCCGCCCAGCTGCTGTGACGGGCTGCCCAGTGTGCAGATCAGGGCCCTGTACGGAGGCCTTCTTCCTCTGTCCCAGGGTTCATCTGTATTAGCCTCACGTGTGAAACGACATTCTGTTAATTAACAAAGCCAGCACCCTGTGCCTCCATCACTAGAGCTGGGTTTGTGCTCTGCTTGGCCTCTTTGAGGTTATTGGGTCTTTGATTTGTTTGTTGTTTGGTCACTAAAGTTGTGTCCAACTCCTTGCAACCCCATGGACTGCAGCACGCCAGGCTTCCTTGTCCTTCACTATCTCAGATCCATGTCCATTGAGTTGGTGGTGCTATCTGTTGGGTCTTGGAGCCTCTAAAAAGCCACTCCATGTAAGTGAGCTTAAAGACCCCGATGGTTCGTATGCTGATAGATGTGTTGTGCCGGGGGTGATGTTGGCAGAGAACATCAATCCATCTCCTCATTCAAATGTTCCTCCCTGCGCTTTCTAAGAGTGAGATATGGACACGTGCTCTCAGCAGAGGTCTCCACAAATTGAATGTGGAGTAGCATTTTCTTATGTGCTTCAAAACTGTGCAACAGTTTCAAATCTGAAATAATTTCAGTTCAAGAGTGTAACCTTTGCTTGTCCTCTTAAGAGAAAACATCTTCAGTTCACTATTCAGCCAATAAGGGTGTGACTAACACTGCTTTTTAAAAAAAAATAGACACTATAAATAAATTATAATCCACCCATATGTAAAGTACTCAGTAGATGTTGAAAATGAAATAGATCTGGGGATTCCCTGGTGATCCAGTGGTTGGACTCAGTACTTTCACTGCCAGGGCCTGGTCGCGGAGCTAAGATCCCGCATGCCATGCTGTGCAACCAAAAGAAAAACAGAAACAGATCTGTGTGAACTAGTAGTAATTGCCTCATCAGAGGGGAATAGGCCTGGGAAGACAGGGGGAGGGGTGTTTGAATTTGAACAAAAGGGGTAATCATGTATAATTTGCATGATTTAAAGATATTTAAAAGAATTTTAGCAAGCACTGTATAAAAGTTAAGGAGTGAATTATCTCCTTGAATAAAAGCCCAGCGTAGACCTCTTTGTGTCATCCTGAACTTTTCGTTACTCCGGGCTCAGTATAACTGACCTTCGTATGTGTGCGTGTCAGTCGCTTCAGTCATGTCTGACTCTTTGCAGCTCTATGGGCTCTAGCCTGCCAGGCTCCTCTGTCCATGGGATTCTCCAGGCAAGAACACTGAGTGGGTTGTCAGGCCCTCTTCCTGGGGGTCTCCCCGACCCAGGGATCAAATCTGGATCTCCTGCATTTCAGGCGGATTCTTTACTGCTGAGGCACCAGGGAAGCCCAACTGACCTTTGTACATACCTTTAAAATTTACAACTGTTTTCATGCAGTCGTTTCATTTAATCCTCCCAACAATGCTTTGAGGCAGGTTTTTATAATCCCCATTTTACAGATGAGCAGACTGATGCTCGGAGTAAAGAAGTGACTTGCCTTGGGCTCATTGAGAAGCAGCACAGAGATTCCGATCCAGGACTTCCGGATGTGAGGCCTGGTGTTATTTCACTTCCCTAAGTTGGAAAGTAGTTAATCTCCACTGATTTGACCTAGTTTTCTTAGTGTTTATGTGTAAGGAACTGTTTGTGCAAGTCGAGTTGACAAGCGGTCAGCCTGTTTTCACAAAGAGCGTTTACCTGTACTCATCCACAGGTAAGGTTTGTACTGCTCTCTCTGGATGCATCCAGTGCCCACCCCACCAGTTTTCTGCTCCTGTTTTCTTTCCTTAGAGAGCCTTTTCATAAACTGCTGGCCCAAGGCCTTATCAAGGGGCAGACATTCCGCCTACCGTCTGGACAGTATCTACGGCGAGAGGAAGTAGATTTCACAGGTGAGAATGGCCCATCTGGGTTGCTCTTGGAGCCAAGGAATACTTAGCTAGGAGGAACAGAAATCCACACAAAGGCAGTTTCACCCAAGGACATAGGGACATCGTCCAAGCCCAGCTGCAGGGAGGGGCAGCGTGTAGGAAGCTGCGGCCGCTGCTGCCTCCTCTGTTCTTGAGCCTCTAGTTCTGCTTCCTGCTCCGCGCCGTTCTCCTGCCCTGTTCTCCTTCCCCTGCCAGGCTTGGACCCCGCTCTCCCTAATTTCAGTGCACACAGTGACCTTGGGCAGAGGCCTCACCTACTTAGGACCCCGGGCTCCAGTGCCCAGCAGCACCGAGACAGACTGAGCATCTCTTAGCCAGTTGCGGAGAAGGAGACTTAACCTTGTCAGGGGTCCTCCTGGTCCCAGCCGCTGGAGCTTGGCTGCAAGGCCACCTCATACACACACGGCCAGGGAAGGCCTCCTCCGTCAGCACCGTCCGGACAGATAGTGTGGAGTGGGGAGGAGAGAAGGGCAGGGCTCCACAGCGGGACCCACGGGTCACGTGAGCCCAGCGAGCTAACCCCATGCCTGGACCCCGCTCTTGGGGTGAGCTCACGTTCTGGTGACTTCACATGGACGGGGACCTCCCTCCGGGTGAAGTGACCTCAGGCATGCTCTGCTGCTCCGAGACCCTGGCTGGTCAGCTGCCAGCTGCCAGAGGAGGCCCCGAATCCATAAAGAAAAGAGCAGTATGCAGGTCCTCCTTACCCTTTTTTCCTGTCCTTTTTGTATGTAAGTGATTTACTTTTTAAAAAGAGGGCCATTGCTTTGTCTTGTTTTGTGACCGAGAAAAAGCTGGCAAGTGTACCATCTGTTCATGAAAGGCAGATTTGTGGTGGGAGGTGGGCCTCATTTATTTGAAAACTAAACCACTGTTACAATGTCTAAAGGGAGAGAACTCGTCACACTAAGTGAATTAGTGGAATTCTTCAAGTGGACACGTTGAATGGCTCCCTCAGTATTTCCAGATTGGATATGCTGTGATAGAACCAGTTCGGCGTCCCCTCCTACTGACGCGTCCTTCTGGTTTGCAGGTTCTGATCCCGTTCACGCAAACACGAGGGAGCAGCTCGAGGTGAGCTGGGAGAAGATGAGCAAATCCAAGCACAACGGCGTGGAGCCCGAGGACGTGGTGGACCAGTACGGCATCGACACCGTCCGGTTGTACATCCTCTTCGCCGCCCCTCCGGAGAAGGATGTCTTGTGGGATGTGAAGAGTAAGTCAGCCTCCCCTCCCAGCCTGCCGCCTCCGCGATCCGCCTCCGCGCCCAGGGAGTCCAGGGAAGGGAGTGTCTTTGCTGAGACAGTAGGGGAGGGTCCTAGGGTCCTACTGTGGAGCAGGTGGGTTTGCCCGATGTCCTGTGCCATTCCTAGACCAGCGTGATCAGATGTAATGAGCCCCAGACCTGCGAGAGAGCACGCTGTGGCTGCAGACCCCCGGTCCTCACTGCAGCCTTGCTGACCCAGCCCCCAGGGTGGGGCTGGGAGCCTGCCTTCAGCACAGACTGGTGTTCTCTGGCAGGTTCTACGAGGATCCCACTTTGAGAACATTTCCTTGAGCCAGGCTGGTTTTTGTGGTACATCTGGGCCCATTGCGGTCCACAGAGGCCAGTCCCCTCTTGGTGTAACCGGAAAGGTTTTTTTCCCAGAACGGCGTCATTGCCCTTTACCAGGCCAGAGAACCCCACATGGGGCCTGGCCCCGATGTTACCTGTGACCTCGGCAGTCTCCCACAGCAGCCCCACGGTCGGGGTGTTGGGGGGGTGGGGGACGTGGCGATTTCTCCCTCCAGAGTTGTTTAGATCTAAAACTGGGTTGGCAAGATCCTTTGGAGGAGGAAATGGCAACCCACGCCAGTATTCTTGCCTGAGGAATCTGGTGGAGAGAGGAGCCTGGTGGCCTGCAGTCCACGGGGTCACAGAGTCACACACGACTGAGCATGCGCGCATGCTGAAACACGTGAAACACAAAACTGGCGAGGACCGGGCTTGTGTTGAAACACCTGAGGCTGCATAGCAGGGTGGCTCTGAACGCAGCATGGGACCAGCACTGCCTCTGTGTACTGCCTGTCCACGTGAGAGGGCAGCCTGCATGTAACTCAGCCCTGTCTCCACGCACGCTGCTGGTTCCAAGGACGTTTTCGTCACAGCAGGCTTTCTTAACCAAGGAGGGGATGCCCTCATGCACATCCTGGCCCAAACTTCTAAGCTCCTTTTGGGCCAGTGACAGTTGCTGGGAACCACCCTTTGAGTAAGCCCCGGCGTCCTATGCTCAGAATATCTGGGGCCCTAAGAAGAAATGACTGAGTCAGTCCTGGTCTGAGGTCCCAGGCACTGGCAGCCAGGGAAGACCCTTCTCCCCGCCCTTGGGGAGACCCCATGAAGCATCTCCTCCTTCACAGGCGCTTTGTCGCTTGGTGTGACCAAGCCAGTCATCCTCACATGTCTCTCCTTCTCTCTCTTGTTCACTAACGTCACACGCAGCTGACGCGCTCCCTGGGGTGCTGAGATGGCAGCAGCGTCTGTGGTCTTTGGTGACGCGATTTATCGAGGCCAGGACGTCTGGGAAGGCACCCAGGCCTCAGCTGTTGAGCGACAAGGAGAAAGCCGAGGCCAGGAGGCTGTGGGAGTACAAGAACTCGGTCATCTCTCAGGTCAGAAACCTTCCTGGAACACTGGTTGATTCTGTGACTGAGCCCTTGTGGTCTGTGTGGCCTGCCTGCCCTGGGGTGGGCACACGGGATTGTCCTCCTGTCTTATTATGGTGGCCCCACTTACCTTGATTATTTGATCCTCCTGCTTTGCGTGTTTCCCCAAGGTGGAGCAACAGTTCACTTCAGTCGCTCAGTCGTGTCCAACTCTTTGAGACCCCATGAACCGCAGCACACCAGGCCTCCCTGTCCATCACCAACTCCCAGAGTCCACCCAAACCCATGTCCATTGAGTCGGTGATGCCATCCAACCATCTCATCCTCTGTCATCCCTTTCTCCTCCTGCCCTCAATCTTTTCCATCATCAGGGTCTTTTCCAGTGAGTCAGCTCTTCGCATCAGGTGGCCAGAGTATTGGAGTTTCAACTTCAACATCAGTCCTTCCAGTGTACACCCAGGACTGCTCTCCTTTAGGATGGACTGGTTGGATCTCCGTGCAGTCCAAGGGACTCTCAAGAGTCTTCTCCAACACCACAGTTAAAAAGCGTCAATTCTTCTGTGCTTAGCTTTCTTTATAGTCCAACTCTCACATGCATACATGACCTCTGGAAAAACCATAGCCTTGGCTAGACGAATTTTTGTTGTTAAAGTAATGTCTCTGCTTTTTAATATGCTATCTAGGTTGGTCATAACTTTCCTTCCAAGGAGTAAGCATCTTAATTTCATGGCTGCAATCACCATCCGCAGTGATTTTGGAGCCCAAAAAAATAAAGTCAGCCACCGTTTCAACTGTTCCCCATCTATTTGCCATGAAGTGATGGGACCAGATGAAATGATCTTAGCTTTCTGAATGTTGAGCTTTAAGCCAACTTTTTCACCCTCCTCTTTCACTTTCATCAAGAGGCTCTTTAGTTCTTCTTCACCTTCTGCCATAAGGGTGGTGTCATCTGCATATCTGAGGTGATTGATATTTCTCCCAGCAATCTTGATTCCAGCTTGTGCTTCCTCCAGCCCAGCGTTTCTCATGATATACTCTGCATATAAGTTTAAGCAGGGTGACAATATACTGCCTTGATGTACTCCTTTCCCTATTTGGAACCAGTTTGTTGTTCCATGTCCAGTTCTAACTGTTGCTTCCTGACCTGCATATAGGTTTCTCAAGAGGCAGGTCAGGTGGTCTGGTATGCCCATCTCTTTCAGAATTTTCCACAGTTTATTGTGATCCACACAGTCAAGGGCTTTGGCATAGTCAATAAAGCAGAAATAGATGTTTTTCTGGAACTCTCTTGCTTTTTTGATGATTCAGCGGATGTTGGCAATTTGATCTCTGGTTCCTCTGCCTTTTCTAAAACCAGCTTGAACATCTGGAAGTTCACGGTTCACGTATTGCTGAAGCCTGGCTTGGAGAATTTTCAGCATTGCTTTACTAGCGTGTGAGAACGCAGCAGTGCACGCATTCTAAGGGAAAGAGATGCTCTTGGGAAATGGCTCCCTCTAGTGATGTCTCCCATTTGTCCATCCCACATCTGAGGAAGCTGCCCACTTTCCATGTTTCCGTATTTAACACATCCTAGGGCTTTCCTGGTGGCTCAGACAGTAAAGAATCTGCCTGCAATGCGGGAGACCCAGGTTCGATCCCTGGGTGGAAAGATCCCCTGGAGACGGGAATGGCTACCCACTCCAGTATTCTTGCCTGGAGAATCCCATGGACAGAGAAGCCTGGCGGCTATAGTCCGTGGGGTTGTAAAGAGTTGGACATGACCGAGCAACTAACGCTTTACTTTCAGATAGAGAATCAAATTTAATGTCATACTGATGACACACTATATATATTATAAAAACAGAAATAGAATTTTAGAGTTGAAAGGGGTTGAAAAGACTCTGTTCTTTAGTCTCCTCATCTTTAGCCTCCTCCTCATCCCTTCTGTGGGCAGAACTGAGGCACAGAACAGTTAAATGCCCTGTGAAAGTCACACAGCCCGTGAGGAACTGAGCAGAGAGTTCCCTGATACTCAGCATAGCGGAGACTTTTCCACTCAGAAACTTTGTTACACAGAATTTGTGCAAGATATTGTGGAATGAATTTTGCAAATAAATCAATGGTTTATTTTATCTTCTTAGAGAATAGCATAGTAGTGTCTAAATCATTTTTAAAGATTCTTCATTGATAACATCCCTTTAAATTTTTCATCTGAAAGTCTGCTATAATATGACATTTACCTCTTTAAGACCTTTGTGAAAAAATGTCATATGTCTTTGAAAGAAAGCACTTAGGAAGCCTGAAGCCACTTTTGAATGGGTACTAAATACCCCAAATTCTCCTTAGGCTGAATGTTGTTTTTTTTTTTTTTAAGATGTGCTGATTCAAACTTAGAAAGTCAGTCAAGGTCACTTCTCTAGACTCTGGTAACTGAGGACGTTGAAAAGGAGCTGAGCTTTTCTCTGGTTTGTGTAGACTGCAGTGGCCCCGGATCCAGCATGGTCTCATTTAGTGACACTTCTTCAGCTTTATTTCTGTCCTGTCTACCATGCTGTAGAGAAGCAGAGCTCATGAAATTGACTTTAGTTATCTGAGTGCTGCTTGAATGATTATCTGCATATCACATATTTTCTCTTTGAATTTGGCAAATTCTTCTCTTCTGTCAGATAATAGAATTGGGTTATTTCAACACGTTGGAAACTCTTGACATCTTAAGGGTGTGTTAGTTTTCTGTATCCTTGCCCACAGTCAAAATTGAAAAACATGCCAATAGGAAAAAGCTGACAAGTAGTATTTGTGTTCTTGTGTTGACTCTATATTTGAAAATGTAAAACTCACCTTATCCCCATGTACCAATAATCTTCATTGTGAATTAAGGGGAAGTGACATCCTTTATCCCATCTCCTGTTTGCTGTTTGGTCATCAGTGGGTCCCACCTCCTCTTCAGGTAACGATCAGTGTTTTCTTAGGCACCTGCTTCGGGAACCAACACTGTCACAGCTATAGAGGAAGAGGAGCAGTCTTGAATGGCGGAAACAACATTGACTTTGACTTTAAAAATCTTTGTACTGAAAAAAAAAATCTTTATGCTGAAAAAAAAAAATCTTTGTGCTGATAAAACATTACAGTGACTACTTGAGATAGTGAAATCAGTTATAAGGATCTTTTATGACATGCATTTAGTTCCACATTTTTCAGATAATTCAGTTTGTGTGTGTGTGTGTGTGTGTGTGTGTGTGTAAGCTTAACGGAACTTTGAACAAAGTGAATGATTCTGCTTTTACCAATAGGTGACTGCCCATTTCACAGAGGACTTCTCGCTGAACTCTGCAATTTCTCAGCTGATGGGACTCAGCAGTGCCCTCTCGGTAAGTGGCCCATCTGTGCCCATTTGCTCCTGGCCAGGGGCAGGGTGCTGTGTGGCTTCCAGTCACGTGGTGAGGTGGCCTGCCGCTCCCAGAGGGCAGAGACCATGCCTTTCTGGACGTTTTATTTCTAAAGTTTGGTCTGCAGCAGGTGAATGGGTGTGACAAGTTTAACTGATCAGCCTCACCTCAGGAAGACGCTGAGTATTGGCAAGAACTGACAAAGAATAGGAGGACCCCTGAGATCCTTGAGAGAGGCAAGAGGACCCCAGTCCTGGGAGTTTCACAGTGCAGAACCTTTGAGCAAGTCTCTGCATTTCCCACTGGTCCTGCACATATAGGAAACCTAGCACAGTGGTTAAGAATTAGGACTGACCTGCATTCTAGTCTAGTCTCCATCTCTTGCGTAACCGTGTGTCCAGGCGCAGGTGACTCTCCCTCTGTCATAGCCCTTAGCTGCTTCATCTGTCAAATGGGCTAACAATACTGCCCTCAGAGGGTGGGAAGACCCAAACCAGTTAGCATCAGCTCAAGGATGTGGTTAATGTTCAGTCAACAGTGCTATATCTGCTCTGGGCTCTCCTGGCGGTCCAGTGGTTAGGGCCCTGTGCTTCCACTGCAGAGGGCCTCATATGAGGTTCAGTCCCTCATAAGGAAACTAAGATCCTGCAAGCTGTGCGGCGCAGCCAAAAAAATAAAATAGAACAGTAATACAACTGCTGTTGCTGCTCCGGCTATTTTTAATACTGTGATTAAACGGGGAAAGTTCTTTGCCTAAAACAAAAATGGTGTGAAGAGAGTCTCTTCACGCCTGCATGTCTCTGGACTTCAGGAAGCTTCATGGCCTCTCTTACCCAGGCTCACCTTGCGTGCCTCGGCTTGCTTACACTGCTGTTCCCTTCTCTCCCGCAGCAAGCTTCGCAGAGAGTTGTTCTCCACAGCCCCGAGTTCGAGGATGCCCTGTGTGCCCTGATGGTGATGGCCGCCCCCATGGCCCCTCACATAACCTCAGAGCTCTGGGCAGGTAGGTGGCGTAGGCCTCACTTGACCTGTTACTGCTGACCAGCGTGTGCTTCCGCCGCTTGTTGAGCCTTATTCAGGACTCAAGTCCTCCGCCGTGGGGCCCGGTGTGTGGCGTCGGCCCTGGGGACGTCTCTGGAAACGCGAGCGAGGTGAGAAGGGGCCACGCAGGGGGACTTGACGGCGGAGCTGGGCCTGCTTCTCCAGACCCTGTGCTCAGAGGTCCCCTGTGACTTCTGAGGATGTTTTAAAGGCGCTTGCAGGAGGCAGGCAGCCTAAGGATGCTGTTTACATTATGCTTTTATCTGGGGGTCTCTGAGAAGCAGCATTCATTTCTTTTTCATGGTTATTTTAGCTCTTCTCACTGGTTTATTCTTCTCAGTAGAACTCGGGTGTGATTTTGTTAAGTTCTCCCAAAATCTCCTTGAGATATTTGACTGAGATTTTCTTAAGCCTGGAAGTAACCTGGGAAAGCTTCACATCTCTACTGCATCTAGGCTTCCATCCCCGAACACGCTCTGTCTCTCCATTTATTCAAGATTTCCCTCACACCCAGTCAAGTTCCTCATATGGATCCCACACATTTCTTAAGATTATTTTCAAATATTTCATCTTGCCATCAGTTCAGTTCAGTTCAATCGCTCAGTTGTGTCTGACTCTTTGCAACCCCATGGACTGCAGCACGCCAGGCCTCCCTGTCTATCACCAACTCCCGGAGCTTGCTCAGAACTCATGTCCATTGAGTCTGATGCCATCCAACCATCTCATCCTCTGTTGTCCCCTTCTTCTCCTGCCTTCACCTTTCCCAACATCTTGCCATAGTTCATTTTATTTTTTTTACTCTAACTGGAATCTTTTTTTTTCTCTTATAATTTTTGACTGGTAATATCTGGTGTATGATTTTTAGTATTTATTTACTTACTTATAACCAGATCCCCTATCAGTCACTCTTCCTTCTTTTAGGGGTAGAATCCTCTTGGATTTTCTAGGAGTCTGTGACTAACAAATAAGCATAAGTTTCCTCCTTTCGAACAGTTACGCTCTTGTGCCTGTTTACTTTCTTTAATATACTGCTTAGAAAACCGCATGGGATGTTAAAGAATACTGGTGACAGCAAGTCTCCTCGCATTTCCAAAGTTAAGTGGAACATGTTTCCCTGTGAGGTTTGCTGTTGGCTGTTGGTTTAGGGTAGATACTCCCTGTCGTGTTCAGGAAGCGGCCAGCTAGCCTTGTTTACCAGAACTCACCTTAGGAAAGGGAGGTAGATTTTACTAAACATCCATTCTTCAGTTGATTGTAGTCTTGGCTTTTAATTTTCCCCTTTGTCCTGATGATATGACTTATGTACAATTAATTGATTGCCCAACAGGCTATTGTGGGATAGATTTACCTTGGCCATGGGGTCATACACCTTTAACATACTGTAACTCCTATTTGCTAGTGTTTGATTTAGGATTTTGCAGTTACTCTCCTAGGAGAAACCAGCTTTTCCTCACTGTGCCTTGTCAGGTTTGGAAATAAGGGTTTCACTGCCTTCACCAAGTGAATTGAGTTGCTTCTGTGCTTTAGAACACACCACATTGGACAAGAACGTCCCCCCATTCTTTACTGAATAGACAGAATGCCCTAAAGGGAGGGTGGTATTAGGCCCTGCCAGGCTGCTGCCATATTACATTAGCTTATGCACCCTTTCATTATCTCCTTAGGCAGGAAACATGCCTCTTTCATTTAGCATTGGTGATCACATTAAGTCTTTTAAGTAGCACACTGTTAATTCTTTCCTGCTCTTCCCTTCTTATAAAACAAAGCTTATCTAATTTGTAATAAACGTATTCACTCTCACCCTGGAATATACACATCTCTCCCTCTTATCATTTTCAGTCCCGCATTATCTGTCTGCCTTCTTCATTCCATTTCCCCGACAAGGGACTGATGTAAATGGGGTTTTCAGAAATCCCCTCCTTGCATGCCCCTCCAGTCTGTGTCTTAGGGCCAGGATTCGGAGGGTGGCAGAGAGGGCCTGCTGTCTCCAGAGTCCTACCCCCAGCCGGCAGGTCTTACCAGAGGTGTACACTGTGGTGATACCCCGCTGGTCTGTTTTTCAGTTGTTGGCTCTCCTGAAGGACATACACTAAAGCAGTGTGATAGAAACTAGTCTGTTTCAGATTCGGCTCCGTGTTTCTCCCCACATGTGACTCCAGTGGGTTTTGTGAGCTGTATTATAATAAGGAGTGGGTCTAGACTGAATCTGAGTTTTCCTAACCGGTCTCGTTCAGTCATTCCGTGAAGAGATTCTCCCCAAAGGACATCAGATGAGATCTGTCTTTTGAGGGCCGTTTGGGGTCCGTGGGCAAAATAGCCATCGTGGCTCTGAATAAAAGAAAACCTTTAGAGAAACCCAAAGTACTTGATAGCCTAATAATATCCTCTACCAACCATGTAAAGAGTCAGTGGAGACCTTCAGTGGGAAATAATAGAACCAGTGTCTTGGCAGTGTGCACACATTAACAGGATGAGGAAATCTTTTTTTCCTTCCTGAAGCTCTGAATCTGAGAAGATCAGGAGACCACAGTCTGAATTTACAGAGTTATCTTTTGTTTATCATCATAGAGTATTGTCCTATCCACGAGGGTGTTAGGGAAATTTTGCATGTTTGGAGTCACTGACACTGTTTCCAGACAAAGGACACGAGGTTCCCCCTCTGGGCTTCTTAAAGCAAAGCAAATCCTAGAGTTTTCCTTGAAAATTACGTCTATGCACATACTGAGGAACCCTAAACTCTTACAGAGGGTGTGTCCTAGGTTCTCGCGCAGCCTCACCCTTAGGCTCGGTTGTTCTCCCCAGGCACCTCCACTGCTGAGTCTGACAGTCAAATTGTCAGAACTCCATGCATGTAGGTGAAATTTTTCTCTCTTCCCGTACTGAGTGTTCTATTGGGTAGTTCTGTATCAACACTTACAGGCTGACTTACAGTTCTTTTTTAAAAAGTTTCATGGTGTCTTACCTAGTGAATATTCATTCCATCAGTTATTCAACAGTTGTCTGTTGATGGGCATTTAAGTGATTTTCCCTCTTTTTCTTTTTTTTTTTTTTTTTTGTGCTACTTTGCAATTAGCCTCTTTTCCAAATACAAGTTATTTAAAATGTAGTAATAAGATCTCCCATTTCTGTTTCTCTGGCCATTTTTACAGTTCAACAGTGATTTTTCTACCTTGCTTTTTGCATCTTGCTTCTACCTCTTGCCGTCTCTGAGTCTTCCATCAACATCTTAATTATTAGGGTCACAGCACAGTGACCCTTTGCCTCCCTTAAGTTTCTCAAGTAACTCATGATAGTGAAGTGTAGTCTACCACCACAAATTTTTTTCTTCGTAAAAATGGTGGTAAAATATTGTAGCTATATTGTTTTGCTGTGCATATATGCTGTATTCATTAATTTCAACAAAACTACAAATCTTGGCACTTCCCCGGTGGTCCAGTGGTTAGGACTCCAAGCTTTCACTGCAGAGGGCACAGGTTCAGTCCCTGGCTGAGGAATTAAGATTCTGCAAGCCACTCAGAAAGGTAAAAAAAAAAAAAAAAAAAAACCTTGCAAATCCACAAATCATCTAGAAGTGTGTGTGTGATACTTGTAAGGAACAGTAAGATATTTGCTGATGTTCCTATGGTTTTATACATGAATGTGTGTGCTGTTTCCACATTATTTTGTTGTTGTTTAGTCACTGAGTCATATCCGACTCTTGTGACTCAATGGACTATAACCCACCAGGCTTCTCAGGTCATGTGATTTCCCAGAAAGAAAATTGGAGTTGGTTATCATTTCCTCCTTCTCCTGGGGATCTTCCCAACCTAGGAATCGAACCTGTGGCTCCTGCATTGGCAGGCGGATTCTTTACCACTGAGGCAATGTCACTAGAACCCTTTCTGTGGGTAAAGGCTAACATGAAGCAGCGTCTCTCCCAGCCCATTTCCTTGGCAGTGCCAGGGCTGGGTGGCGCATGGTGGGGACCCAGTCTCCGGGCCTCCCCTGTGTGTGATGAGGATTAGGGTGGAGTGGAGATAGGCATGAAACTAGTCATCAGGGGAGGCCTGCCATCCACAGACGCCTCGACCACCTGCTCTCATTCCAAGTGCCATGGTGGCTTGAGAATCACCAGCTCTCGGGGCGGGAGAAGAGGGTCGTTTCGGTTCTTGCACAGGAAGGTCAGCGACAGCAGCTCTCCAGGGAGGGGCAGGAAGAGGGTGGGCTGAGAGCGACAGCTGACCTCCACGGTGGCCTGTGTATCAGAACCTTGCCGCTTCCCAGCCTGTGTTCAGACTTTCTCCATGTGCTTCCCAAACACCAGCTCCCGGCCTGACCTGTGTCACGTAAAGAAAGCATTGTATTTGCCATGCAAATGGTAGGTATTTTTAGTTCCCTAAAAAGAGCAGGAAGGCAAAAACATGACGCAGAGCCTGGGGTCGTAAGTTTCTGTTCCTCTCTGCTGAGCAGGACAGGGCATGGGTAGCGAGGTGGGGGGGCCTCCCATCTATATGGAATCCCTGGCAGGGCCGCCAGCCACTATAAATAAGCATCCTGATTGCTCCAGGAAGGCTGGGCTTCCTCATTTCTTTTTAAAGTGGAATTTGTAACAGCTTCTGCCCAGAACATTTGTGTCCAGGGTCCTTTCATCTCCCAGGCATCCTGTGCAACTGCCATGCGGAGGCTCTGGAACGCTGCCCATGGCAGCTGGGTCACAGAACAAGCCATGCTGGCCCAGCCAGCTAAAATAAAGACCTGATTATCTCCCTTCTGTGACCTCTGTCCTGTATTTAGATATGAGTCTCAATAGGAACCCTTCTGAGGAACCAGCAGGAAGCTCCTTTCTGCTTCTGCCAAGAGGCACATGTGTTGGAAACAGAGCAGGCTCGTTAGAAGCAGGGAAGCCCAGGGCACAGGGGCCAGACGGGGCCAGGAGCGCATCTCCAATGCCACTGGGTTCTCAGATCCCCAGGGGCCTTCCCCTCCCCCAGGCTGTCTGCCAGCACAGGGTGACAGGAAGAGCGCCAGAAAGTAGAACATAGGATGCTACGGCAAATCCGCAATGCCCGCACGGGGGCTGAGACGCGCAGGTCACCAGAGTAAGACACCAGTGCTATTCAGAGTGGTCCAGAGACCTGAGGCTGGTCTGGGAACTGTCTCTCAGAGCTTAGGACAAGGTGAGGAGCTTAGCAGGTCCATGGCCTATGTCACTAAGCACGCATTCCAGTAAAACTGACCATATTGTTGGTAGCAAGACTTTCTCACTGAAGGAAGCAGTGTGCTGATTCATATTCTGACCCGTTCTTCACCTCATCACATGCAGGCATTTTAAGTATCTTCATAGTAAACAGTTCTGCAGCCATCCCTAGTATGTGCTGTGCTTAGTCGCTCAGCTGTGTCTGACTCTTTGCGACCCCATGGACTGTAGCCCGCCAGGCTCCTCTGTCCATGAGGATTCTTTTGGCAAGAATACTGGAGTGGGTTTCCCTGCCCTTCTCCAGGGAATCTTCCCAACCCTGGGATCGAACTCAGGTCTCCTGCATTGCAGGCAGATTCTTTACTGTCTGAGCCAGCAAGGAAGCCCTTATCTAGTATAGTATATTGTAAAACAAAATCACAAACCAATAGGGAAGAGAAGCTTTATTCAATGGAGTCAGTTTGGAAAACTGCTGTGTATTTTTTTTTCACATTATACACAAAATAAATTACAGATAAATAAATTATGAATAAATGGAAAAGAAAATGAAACCTTAAAAAGAAACCAGAAGAAAATTCTTGAACTGATGTCACAGTATGGGAACACTGTTTATAAATATCTTTTCAAATTACAAAAGCTGTGAGTATTCCTTGTAGAAAAATCTATAATTTTTTTTAACAAGAAGATTGCCTATACTTATATCTCCCGTGGATAATCCTTGCTGCTATTCTACTGTTTTTCTTCCTCGACTTTTCTATCTGTTTATATAAACATTTGCTAAAACTATGACCATAGTATATATACTATTGTGTGTCATCATTTTCCATGAAGCTGATTACTAGTTTAAAATGTAGGAGAAAAGAGAATCCAAAACTGTGTCTATAGCATGATCCAGGTGGTGGTTTGGCTTGATTCTGTGGATACAATATCATACAAATATTCATTCAATATATTATATTACTATCTTTCAAAATAAAAAGTTTTATAGATGCTATCCATGTGAACATGATTTTTTTTTTGTTTTTTGACTTTTTACAAATTTTCTGCAAGGAGTATGCATCAGTTTTGTCATCAAAGAAAATAAAACATTGTCAACTCACAGCCCAGTGTTCGGGACTGGCATTGGTGGGCTTCATTTCCTCTGTCCCAGATTCAAACTTCAAATGTATCTGCTAGTCTCAAGGCTAATAATAAGTGGGGCGGGTTGGGGCGGGGGAAACACGGAATGTAAGGGCCATGCCACCTCTACCAGCCCTGGAGAAACCACTCACAGTGTGAGGGCTGTGCCATTGCCATGGCAACGTCCCCACGTGGGCACACTGCCCTCATTCATGTGCCCTCTCGCTCAAGGCCTGCCTCTGGGAGGACCAGGAGGCAGCGGTGAGGTGCCACGCCACGATTGCCCAGGCATCGGTTTTTCTGCCCCGTGTATTCCTGCACATTTGGGGGCATCTTTTGTACTCCCGACATCAGCAGAGGCTCAGAGGTCAAACCCTCCCTGCTAGAGAAGCCCTGGTTGAAGCCCTAAAGTGCAGACCACTAGCCATGAGCGTCTCTGGGGTGCTGAGCCTCCTCGGCCTTGGCTGCAGCGCGAAGCATTGGGGAGCTGGAGAGGGGAGAGGCTTTCATTCCTCCCAGCTTCCTCGGGTTGGACCCACCCTGAGCCAAGGACAGCTCTTTACAGTTTGCAACTGGCGGGAGCCTCTCACGAGAGGAGGTTTTAGCTGAGAGGTTGAGCTCCCTCTGAGTAGGTCCAGAAGGAGCATCCTGCTGTTCTCAGCATGTTGGCTCTGTTGATTAGGAGTCGAAGGACTGGGTGGGAGGCCCTCTCAGACCACAAGTATTCTCGGGCCAGAGAGGAGGCGAACATAGCTCGTTACTTTGGGATCTGCACACGCTGGAGAGCTTCACCAGAGGGACTACAGCCTTACTTTTCCAAATGCACACTTAAGATCAGTGTGTTCACCCATCTTTATTGCTCTGGGTATCGTTGAAAAAAAAAAAGCTACCTATAAACTGAGATGGTAATTCTCTAGCAGTCCAGTGGTTAAGACTCCACGCTTCCAGTGCAGGGTGTGCAGGTTCGATCCCTGGTCAGGGAACTGGAATCCCACATGCCACTTGGTGCAGTCAAAAAAAAATTTTTTTTCCCCAAACTTTAAGCTTTTTATTTTGTTTTAGGGTCTGACTGATTAACAGTATTGTGGTAGTTTCAGTTGAACACCGAAGGGACTCAATCATACATATACACTGATCCATTCTCCCCCAAACTAGCCTCCTATGGCCAAAATATATTTAATAAATAAGCTGGGATGATGAGCAAGGCTGAAGGAAGTGGGGGCCCCTGATGGGCTGTGGAAAGCCACGGTGGGGCCCCTGGGGCCTCAGACAGCTCCAGGGCAGGCCGCGTCGGGACAGACGCTCTACAACGTGCTCCCGTGAGCCCGTATGTGCTCAGTGACCCTCTGTGTCTCCGTGTTACAGGCCTGGCACTGGTGCCACAGAAGCTGTGTGCCCACTATGCCTGGGATGCCAGCGTGCTGCTTCAGGCCTGGCCCACCGTGGACCCGCAATTCCTCCAGCAGCCCGAGGTCGTGCAGATGGTGGTTCTGGTGAGTGCCTCCCGAGGCCCCTCACACCCAGGGGAATCTCTCTCTGACACACACACAGACACACACACACACAGACACACACACACACGGCTGAGCCTGGAGGTCTGGTGAGTGCCTCCCGAGGCCCCTCGCACCCAGGGGAATCTCACACACACACACACACACACACACACACACACACACACACATGGCTGGGTCTGGAGGTTTCTCCGACTCTCTGCCCGACCTTCCAGCCTGTCTTGCTTTGCCAGCATCTTCAGTTTTGAGGTCACCACATACCAAAAGCTTGTGAGCAGAAAACCTGTGGCCTTCGAGCTTTTGAGAGCATGGAAAGAATCAACCTGTCCTGTCTTATGTGTTCTGTCTTCATTCCAACTGTGTTTCAGCCTCTCTAGGTTTCATTCAGCTGCTCTTGGCTTTGGGAAAGGGTAGGGTGATAGTGAGGTGGTGGGCATGGAATCCCTCACTCTGCAAAATATATTTCAGAAAGGCTACATGAAATCTCTTTTTTGGTAAAGTGGATCATTTTAAATACATAGCAGTAGTCGATTATAATATAGAGCTAGTAATTCTGCTCTAGTTTATCCTTATGCATTTAGTTTGCTTAATCTGAGACCCATTGTGAGGAATCTCTCTTCAATATGCTGATGTTCCTGAAGAGGGAAAGAAAACAAGGGCAGACCTTTTATTCTGATCCACACGTGGGCCAGCGGATTTACATCCCAACTCTCATCACCCTGAAAGGTGGGCATCACTGTCCTCATTTTTTTTTTTTTCAGCTGAGGACACAGGCTCAGAGAGCTCATCACTTTGCCCACATTTGTTTATTCCTCAGTCATTATCCAGTTACCTCCCTTACCTTAACACAGGCTCTTGGGACCCAAACCCAAATACAAAAAGCCGGGTCCCTGTCCTTGTGGAGCTTAAAACCTGGTAGAAGAGATAGGGAAAAATAAGAAGGAAAGAAAAATAGAAACAAAATGATTGCAAGTTGTGGAACGTGCCACAGACAAGTTACCCAGAGGCTGAGGGGTAGCTGGGCCTGCCAGTCCCCACCTGCTGCGTCTGCTGACCCTGGGCCCTGCGGGCAGGTCCACATTGGGAAAGACAGTAGCCCCCAGGAGACTGGCTCCTTGTCAGCCACTCTTTCTCCTCACGCTCTCCCCTGGAACTTACTTCCTCGATGCCTCCTGTTCGCCTGCCCACAGAGGGCAAGGAGGTGGGGCTGCCTGGCTAGGCTTCTTCCCAGAGTCTTCAAAACTAGCCTGTGCCACAGAGAGGTAATTTCTTTAATTTGGTTAACGTTTCTAAGAAATAATTCTCTTGCATACTTCTAAGGACTCGTCCTAAGCTGAGGTTGAGAGAGGCCAACTTTTTTTTTTTTTTTTTGCCACACCCTGCAGCCTGTGGGATCTTAGTTCCCTTGACCAGGGATCAAACCAGCCCCCCCCTGCAGAGTCTGAACCACTAGACCACCAGGGAAGTCCCAGAAATGCCAAACTTGAGACGCTGAAGTTCTAGTCTGAAAATGTCTTTCCATTTTAAATTATCCACTGCGGAAAAGAAATCGAGTTTTGATAATTGGTAAAATAATCTTAGATTTCCATTGAAATAAAAATTTCAAGATTTAAAATGTGTAGGGCTCCTTGCAAGCACACCCAGCTCAACAGCCTCCGGGTCGGGGTGTCGAGGCCTGCCGTCCTGTCTCCACGTGATCTCACTCAGGGCCAAGGCCAGAAATAGAAGCTGCAGCACAGAACAGCGTAACTCAGCGTAACTCAGTTCAGCCACGCCCGTGTGCTCTGAGCCCAGAGGCACCGCCTCGTGTCCGTGGACCCCAGCACCAGGAGAGACGGTCTGGGGAGGCACACACGTTGTCATGCACACTGACAATTTGCATAGCCTCCAGGTTAAGACAGAAGAGCTTGGGACTTGGACCACCTCACTTTTCAAAATGCTTAATCCTCAGTTTCCTCAGTTAGAAAGTGGAGTCAAATCCAGGGCCTGCCTCACTTCATTATGCCAAGAATTAGACGAAGCATGCCAGGAGTGCTTAACCTGCTTCTGGACGCACTAATGACAAAACCCACTAACACACTGTGAGCACCGACTAAGAAGCGGGCTCTGCCCTTAGAATTTTCCAGGTACTAACTCACTGACCCCGCACAGCAGTCCCACGAGGCAGACCCTGCTATTCTCCCCATTTCACAGACGAGGCCCTGTCTCACAAAGAGGAAAACAGTGGCAGCACAGGGCTTAGTAGCTCACATGCTAGGTGGTCACCGCTGCTCGCATAGGCGTCGCTGCCTCTGGCAGCTGGGGCGCTGAGGAACGTGTCCTGAGGAAGAGATGTGACCTTGGCTTTGAAAGAGGAGCACGGTTTCCCTAAGTGGAGGGAAGGGGCCACGGCGGGGGGAGCCCTCCCTGGACCGTGAGCCGAGGTTGGGGCTGGAGCAGAGGCAGGGCCACTCTCGAGAGAGGGCCAGACTGCATCTGGAGCGGCTGGGGGCTGGCAGGGAAGAGAGGGAGTCCAGGGGTCATCCCGTCTCCAGTGTGGGCTGGGGTGGGGACCGGGGTCTGTGGCTTCACAGTCCCGTCCCTCAGTTTGGCCCTCTGAGAAGCGGGGCTGGAATGGCAGTGGCTCCCTCAGGCCTGTGACAGGGATAAACAGGGCCTCTCATGTGACCTGTGGAGCCCGGTGCCTGGCAGAGAGAGAGAGAGCTCAGACAGCGAGCGCCTTTACTGTCATGAGCCACTGTGGGGCTCCTGTCAGTGAGCAGCGGATGGGGTGGTTAGGGGGTGCGGGACAGCGCTCGCGGCCGGGGGCCACCAGGCAGTTGTTGGAAGAGTCCTAGGGAACAGCACAGAGGCCTGGACGCAGGCCGACTGGTGAAGTGGAGCTGGCAAGGCCAAAGGGCGGAAGCTAGCACGGCCCCCAGGTGGGGAACTGGAGACCTTCCTAAGGCAAGCAGCCGCTGTTTGAGGTGACGTCTTGTTTGTCTCCCATCCTGTCACCTAGGTGGCGCTCGTGGTAAAGAACCTGCCTACCAGTGCAGGAGATGTAAGAGACGTGGGTTCCATCCCAGTCAGGAAGATCCCCTGGAGGGGGACATAGCAACCCACTCCAGTATTCTTGCCTGGAGAATGCCATGGACAGAGGGGCCTGGCAAGCTATAGTCCATGGGGTCGCAGAGTCAGACACTACTGAAGTGCCTTAGCACACACCGCACAGCACAGTGATCTAGGCCAATGCAGCCTCTAAAAATGCCATTATGTTCACAGAAATCTGAAAAGACAAATGGGTGACTATGGGATCCTGGATAATATGCTTTGGTTAAAACTTCAGAAGTTCTTCCCGGTAACTTTTCATTATACAGTGACTTTATTTTCCAAGTTAAAAACTGGAGCATTCATGAAAGAAACGTAAGCATTCTGACAGGAGCCACTGGGACGGAGGATTTGAAACAAGCTGTTCAGAAGCTATCTGGATCACATGTCACTTTCCTTAACAACAATATCAGTTCATATTTGATGTGAAATTTAACCTTCACATCAAATAATTGAACCAACATTCAGTGAATAATACCACTGGTGTCTGGAACCGTTCAGTTCAGTTCAGTCACTCAGTCGCATCCGACTCTTTGTGACCCCATGAACCACAGCACGCCAGGCCTCTCTGTCCATCACAAACTCCCAGAGTTTACTCAAACTCATGCCCATCGAGTCGGTAATGCCATCCAACCATTTCATCCTCTGTCGACCCCTTCTCCTGCCTTCAGTCTTTCCCAGCATCAGGGTCTTTTCCAATGAGTCAGCTCTTCGCATCAGGTGGCCAGAGTATTGGAGTTTTAGCTTCAATATCAGTCCTTCCAATGAATATTCAGGACTGATTTCCTTTAGGATGGACTGGTTGGATCTCCTTGCAGCCCAAGGGACTCTCAAGAGTCTTCTCCAACTCCACAGTTCAAAAGCATCAATTCTTTGACCTTCAGCTTTCTGTATAGCCCAACTCTCACATCCATACATGACCACTGGAAAAACCTTAGCTTTGACTAGACAGACCTTTGTTGGTAAAGTAATGTCTCTGCATTTTAATACGCTGTCTAGGTTGGTCATAGCTTTTCTTCCAAGGAACAAGCGTCTCTTAATTCCATGGCTGCAGTCACCATCTGCAGTGATTTTGGAGCCCAGAAAAATAAAGTCTGTCACTGTTTCCATTATTTCCCCATCTATTTGCTGTGAAGTGATGGAACTGGATGCCATGATCTTAGTTTTCTGAATGTTGAGTTTTAAGTCAACTTTTTCACTCTCCTCTTTCACTTTCATCAAGAGGCTCTTAGTTCTTCTTTACTTTCTGCCATAGGGTGGTGTCATCTGCACATCTGAGGTTATTGATATTTCTCCTGGCAATCTTGATTCCAACTTGTGCTTCCTCCAGCCCAGTGTTTCCTCATGATGTACTCTGCATATAAGTTAAATAAGCAGGGTGACAATATATGGCCTTGACCTACTCCTTTCCCAATTTGGAACCAGTCTGTTGTTCCACGTTCAGTTCTAACTGTTGCTTCTTGACCTGCATACAGATTTATCAGGAGGCAGGTGAGGTGGTCTGGTATTCCCATCTCTTTAAGAATTTTCCACAGTTAGTTGTGATCCACACAGTCAAAGGCTTTGGCGTAGTCAATAAAGCCAAAGTAGATGTTTCCTGAAACTCTCTTGCTTTTTCGATGATCCAGAGGATGTTGGCAATTTGATCTCTGGTTCCTCTGCCTTTTCTAAATCCGGCTTGAACATCTGGAACCATACTGGCCCATTTTAGGTAAGAACTGTGAGTGGTGTGGATCCTGTTTCCAGGTTGTCACATGTGAGCACCCCCTTCTGGAGCCAGTCATCCGGAAGGGAGGTTGCCCATCTTCCCCAGAAATTAGTCCACGTGAAACGCCCTGTAGCCAGATCTGAACTCGACATGATCTTCAGTAACATAATTGTCCCCCTCCTCCTGAATACAGCCTGAACCACCTCATGCCAAGAGTTTTTGACATAATTCCCACCAAGGTGTGATGGCAGCAGCGTTCAGGAAACATGGGGTGGTGCTCCTGCCCTCTCTGCGGTGTTCAGGTGTTAATCCCACCCATCTCACTACACTTCGCTCTTCTGGGAAGCCAGGTCCCGCCTTTTCTTTCTCTCTTCCCACGCCCTCTCCCCACGCAGAGACAGCAGCTCCCTTTAGGGGCAGTGGGTGTCAGGCTGCCTACCACTCTCAAGCTTTCCTCATGGGTTGTCTCTCTTTTCACCTTGTCAGATCAACAACAAAGCCTGTGGCAAAGTCCCCGTACCCCAGAATGTCGCCCAGGACCAGGACAAAGTCCATGAACTGGTTCTCCAGAGCGAGCTGGGTGTCAGGCTCTTACAGGGGCGAAGCATCAAGAAGGCCTTCCTCTCCCCACGCACCGCCCTCATCAACTTCCTGGTGCAGGAGTGACTGCAGGCCCGCTGCGGCCCCTCCCCTGGGTCTGGGGCAAAGGAACGAGTCTGGGGCCCGGGCTCAGGGAAAAGCCCAGTGTCTTGAATGTCTGCCTTTGCATTCTGACAGACTGGCATCTGCAGGGCGCCTCCACAGTGTGATCCGGTGCTGGGGTGAGGGTGGGTAGGGGCAGAGGAGAAATACAGGTGAAGCGGTGGGGAGCGCATACCTCTGCCGTTGCAGGTGGGGGAAGCGTCTATCCCCACGTGTAGGCCCCAGAGATTCGGCCGGGTGGGAGTGGGAAGGGAAGCAGATGAGCCTGAACATGAAGCCCCGCGAGCAGCCTGGGCACCTCTGGACCCTGGAGACCGCACTGCCTTCAGCAGGTCCCCGCTGAGGATGTCGGGGGCTTGGGGCAGCTCGAGCAGTCACTGTTGATCGGCAGATGGTCTCCTGCCTTCAGGCTGGATCCAGATATCCACGTGTGGCATGGACACTGGCGTCTTCAGAAGTCGCTCGGAGGAATTCCCTGGCCGTCCAGTGGTTTGGACCTGGTGCTTTCACTGCTCTGGACCCCAGTTCAATCCCTAGTCGGGAAACTAAGATCCTGCATGGCTGGCACAACCAAAAAGAAGAAGAAGAAATAGCTGGGACTCAAGAAACAAGCAGGGCTAGTCTGGCTGCCTGCACCCCGGCTCCTCAGCCCTGCCTGGCTGGCTGTTTCCACCCTGGCTCAGCTGGGCTCTCCTGGCGGGCCTGCTCTGATGCCGATCCTCAGGCCCTCGGGCGAAGCACCGCTTTGCACTGTGAGTGGGGAGCAGCCCCTCCCAACTGCCCCTTCAGAGTGTCACGTTTGCTGTGAAGTGAAGCGGAACTAAGCTGCTTCCAGCCTGGACAGAACCCATCTCAGAGCCGGCCACAGCTCAACAGGGCGTCTGCTCATGTGCGCCCCAGATGGCAATGCTGCCCTGGGTGTGGCCCCCAGAACGAGCCCACCGCCAGTGGGGGTGGGGGTGGAGAGCTGACGCCACCCGGGTGTCACCTCCTGTGCTCCAGCCACAGCAGCTGGCTGCCAGGAAGACCCCCGTGTGATGTAGTTAGAGTGATCCTGGGTTTTGGGGAAGTCAGAGGTTAGGTGCTCTTAACAGAACTGGCCTCAGTCCACTGAGTACTGTTTAATACGGGGAGGGGAGGAGAATCCAGACATGTGACGCTGAAAATCTGTATTTGTTCCCCGATGTCTTTTTCTGAAGTAGGCTCAAATGTGGTCCCCTGCAGTTCAGCAGTTAACAGATGACTTTTTTTTAATGGAATAAAATGTTTGTCATGTATGAGTTCGGGACAAATGTGTGATCCTGGAATAGTCACCATATTCCAATTCTAGGAGTTAATCAGGAACACACTGAGTTATTCTGTTATTCTCTGAAGCCTTGGCTGTGTGCCTGACTCCTTGTGGGCTGTTGTAAAGTGGGATGCACGGGGAACTTAGCAACTACGGTACTGACTCAGAAACAGCAGCTAAGCACTTGGCTCAAGCTTAATACTCTGCCTGGTCCCCATGCCCAGAAATCCTGGTATAACTGATCTCAAGTGCACTTGGGCATCAGGGATCTTATTAATAGATTCTCCACATTTGATTGATTGTTGTTAGTCGTTCAGTCATGTCCGACTCTTCACGACCCCATGGACTGTAGCCCGCCAGACCCCTCTGCCCATGGAATTCTCCGGGCAAGAATACTGGAGTGGATAGCCATTCCCTTCCCCAGGGGATCTTCCTAACCCAGGAATCGAACTCAGGTCTCCTGAATTGCAGGCAGATTCTTTACGGTCTGAGCTACAAGGGAAGCTGACACAGGTGCTCCACGGGTGATTCTAATGGCCAGCTAAGTTTGAGAACCACTGGATTAATTGATTCATTTGAACCATAATGTCTAACTAGTCCTTTCTCTCCCTAACCTTCAGCTTAACTGGGATGAATTTGGTCCAGGACCAAAACACAGTGAAGCAGAGTCAGGAAAGACTTGGACTGGAAGGGAAGGCAGGGGCCAGAACTCTGGAGCAGGTATTTAAGATGTTCCCAGAGCTGACCTGAGTGGACAAAATCCTATGGCATGTACCAACAAATGCAGATTCACTATAAGTAAACAGATGAGGATCTTTGGTTCAAGGAGGGGAGTGAGTGCATTTGCCACATTGTCTTGTTTATTCCTAAGGTAAGCTAAGTGATCTTGAGTCTGTCAGTAAGATGAGGTCAGGGATCCCTTTTTTAGCACATAATCTGTCCAGAACAGTGGGTAAGTAAAGCTTCAGGACCACTGGACTAAAGGGCATGGCTTTGAAGAACTTCTTCTCGAAGACGAGAAAAAGTTTTAAAAACAGAGGAGCTCATTGGTGTCACTGAGCTAGTTGGTGTAATGGAACAATTGAATAGAAGAACCTGATCCCTGGGGTGGGGAATGATGTCAGTCCTTTATTAACTGCCTTGATTAGGTCAAAACCTGGACTGAACAAGTTCCCTTGCATTATGTCATTTAATTTCCACTAAAATCCTAGAGGGAAAGAATGAGTCTGTCATAAATATGAAGAAACCCAGGTTCTGAGGTTCAGTAATTTGCTCAGTTTGCACAGTTAATAAGTAGAAACTTTTTGTTGTTGCTGTTGTTAAGTCACTAAGTCATGTCCAACTCTTTTGCAACCCGGTGGAGTGTAGCCTGCCAGGTTCCTCTGTCCATGGGATTCTTCAGGCAAGAATACTGGAGTGGGTTGCCATTTCCTTCTCCAGGGCATCTTCCCAGGCTTGGGATCGAACCCAAGCCTCTTGCATCTCCTGCATCAGCACGTGGATTCTTTACCACGGCCCCACAGTAAGTACAAGAATCGGATTCAAACCCCTGTCCTCTGGCCTCTAAATCCCCCTGTGCCACCCACCATGTCTACCAGTCCCCCCACCTCATTGCCCATCTTGCTGGAAGTACCAGACTGAGGAAAACTCAGATGTCGGCTGGAAGCTTGGGGCTCTCTAGGGACGCCTCGTGACTGCATGGAGTGGCCATTATTCTTGCTGCCTCTGTGCTACCTTGGCTTAGGGCTCCCTGATTAATGGCCTGAGGCTTCTGGGGGCAGATGGCCTGGTGGTGTGAGCTGGAGGTTTGAGGCCACATGAAGAAGCCTTCCAGAAGTCCTTGCAAGCCACTCACGGCCCTTGGCAGGCTAGTGCTCCAACAGGATAGACTCCAGACCTAAAGCTGAGCATCCGAAGTTGGCTTTGGTTTTCCTCTTTAGGTGGTTTGATTCCTGATCTGAGCCCAAGTCAGAATTAGGAGGCTGCTGGTGAGCACAGCCATGCGCCTGCACTGATGACTTTCCTGCCGGGCTACTACTCAGGCCAGAGGGCTTGGTTCCTGCACCAGATGCCCTGGCCTCCACCCCCTGCCGCCCTCTTGGTCTTTCTCCGCCCAAGAGGGAAGGGAAGGAGGCAGACAAGCCTCCAGGGTCACTGTGTGCAGCAGGCACCATGCAGGGGCTTTTGCTGCTGCTCTTCAAACCCCACAGCCGTGCCGCAGAGTGAGAATTATGACCCACACCCTTTAACAAAGGAAACCGAAGCCTAGCAAAGTATAGCGAGTTACCTACGTCCTGCCGCTGATAACTGCTCGAGCCAGGACGCAGTCCCAGTTCTGCCCTCCTGTTCACAGCTTGCCTTCTCCAACCTGCCTTCCAGGAGGGAAGAAATGGGGTGTCTTGGGAGGAAATACAGCTTGTTCTTTTTGTCCCAGGAATTCTAAACTGGAGCTCTGGTGTGTGTATGTGGCCCCGCAGAATGCAGCCCAACACTCCTGACTCAACCTCACCGCGGATGCTCCTTGAGGAAGCGGGCTGGGCTTTTGTACCCCAAATCCGTCCATCACTGGCTGTGGGCCAGCCCAGGGTGGAGGGAGGTAGTTAATAATTTTCTGGGCATCTTGGGATGGAGGGACTCCCACTGGCTCAGGGTAGGTTTCCGGAGAGGAGCACAGCCGAGCCGTCAGCAACCAGCATGTGTGGGAGCTGGGGCCAGGCGCCCCTGCCTGTGAGGAGGACCTGGGGGAGCCCCCAAGGTGACCACCACTAGGAGAGAGGGTGCAAATCCAAGCTTGAGAAGCAGCCAGGCTGGGGGGCAAGGAAAGGCTCCAGACAGACGCCGAGTCACAGGAGACGCGGAGAACACAGGATGGGGCGAGGATGAGCTGAGCTACCTCGGGGCTGCCCTGATACCCTGGGCTGGGGTGGGGGGTGGGGGGGTGGTCTCCAGGCAGTGCCACTGCATTAGAGACAGTGATGAGGCCAAACCGGAAGCCGCCATCCCCCTTCTGCAGATGACAAGACCATGACTCACCCAGGCTGAGACTTGCTCAGGGCCCTACAGTGAGTTATGGGAGTATTTCCAATCCCATTCTGTGCTCATTCCACTCAGGGGTACCCCTAGAAAAGCCCGGTGGTACCACCAGACAGAATTTAGCTCTGGAAGTAAATGCTTTTAACTGGATGACATCGGGGTAGACCAAATGAGAAGAGTCTGCACCCCCTCCCCCCACCATTTCTTCCTCTGCGACGAACAAGCAGAAAACATCTGTTTCGTGGGCTGATCCCTGTCTGACTTTCAGAGGGTGGGTGGCCAAAGACTCTCATCCAAGCTGATGAGTCTGGAGATCGGAATCCGGGGTGGCCAACCACGAGCAAGAGGGAATCCCCAGAATGGGTGAGTGAGGTGCTGGCAGGGAGGGGGTGGCCGGGAACAGCTGGGGAAAGACCCGTCCTGTGGGCAGAGGCCTTGGATCCAAGGGTGGGGCCAGCAATCGTCCAGAACGGGTGACCTCACTCCAGGTCTCCATCGTGTCTGCCCACGTGACAGAGGGGAGACAGGGGTAACAAGGCCCTGGGGGGGAGGTGGCGGCCAGGCCTGCCCGAGTCAGGCGCCTGGAATCCGACACTCATGATTCATCTCCATGTGCCTCCAGCTCTGCACTTGAATTCCAGGTCTTGTCTGGCCTCTGAAAGAGCCGACCTGTGTGGAACACTGGGTGTGCCTGAGATGCCCTCGTATCAGCAGCAGTAAGAAGCATTTGCCACTTTCTGAGGGCTAGCTGTGTGCTCGGCCCTGTTCTGGGAGCCTTACCACAGAAGGGGTTGAGCTCAGGACCACATGAGAGGCTGGCCGAGCCACAATTCCGAGCCTGCTCCACTGCACCGCTTCCCACAGGCCTTGCAGACCAGCCCTGAACCTCCTGGGTTTGCCAGCACAGCCTTGATTTCTGACTCTCTCTCCAGTTGTCAAGAACCTGCCAAGCCTACACTCACTGGTCCGAGGACAGCTGGGTGAGCACCTCCCTGGTGCCCGGAGACAGATCTGGGCTTTCTCTGAGCCCCGGCCTGAGCTCTCCCAGGGACCCATCACCTTTAATAGTTATGGATTTATTTGGCCGCGTCAGGTCTTAGCTGTGGTATGCAGGATGTTCATTGTGATGCTCAGGCTCAGTTGCCCTGCAGCATGTGGGGTCTTAGTTCACGAACCAGGGATCAAACCCGCATCCCCTGCATTGAAAGGCAGATTCTTAACCACTGGACCACCAAGGAAGTCCTAAGCCATCACCTTTGAGCCTCATCATTGGAACCTAGAAGTCAGGGGGTCAGCTTGACTCCACTCCAAATACCAGGAGGAAAATCCCATGGACAAGAGTGAGGGAGACCTGGCCTGGGTCCGTGGGCACGGTGAGAGCTGCCTGGCCTCACAGCATCCCAGAACATCCTTCCCCAGACCATCCCTCCCACCACAGAAGGCCTCCTCTGGGATCACTTAGGGCTGGTTGGCCCTGGCCCCACCCAGAGGTGGACTTGCCTGCCACACCTGCTGCACCTGCACTCTCACGGGTTCCCCTCAGGACCAGGAGGAGAACTGGGCCTGGCAGGAATCCTCTTCGTGAGACCCTGTGAGGTGAGGGGTCAGTGTTGAGTGGATAGAGTCGATGCTCTGGGGTCAACCAGGGAGGCAGGGCCACCCCAAAGGTGACACCGTTCCCTGAGCCTGGAATGTCATTTATCAGGGAAAAGGCATGTCATTCTCTTCTTAAGAAACAGGGCCAGGCCGGGCCAGTGGGGCTTTTCGAGGTGGGTTCCCCAGAGGGCTCTCTGTCTGCGGGCAGGACACAGAGCAGCCACCACGTGGAAGCAGGCTGAAAAGCCAGACGTCATCGAGGGTCTCCATTCTTAGTTATCACTTCACCTGTTAGTTGTCAGATAACCCATTAGCTTGCTAGTAATAGAAACTTAGTTTTGATTAATAATTAACTTTAATGGATTTTTATTATGGTCTGGATGTTTGTGTCCCCCTGAAATGCATATGTTGAGACCGTACTTCCAAAGGTAACGGTACCTAGCGGGTGGGGCTTTGGAGATGACTGGGTGAGGTCATGAGGGTACGGCCCTTGTGGGTGGGATTAGTGTCCTCATGAGAGTCACAGAAGAGCTTGCTTCCTCCCTGCATCCTGCCGTGTGAAGATACAAGTCAGCAGTCTTCAACCCGAAGAGGGTTCTCGGCAGAACTCCAGCAAGCTGGCACCCTGAATTCAGACTTCAGCCTCCAAAACCGTGAGGAATATGTTTCTGCTTTTTATCAGTTTCTGCTGTCTATGGTACTTTGTTATAGCAGCAAGAATTGAAACAACTACTAACATCTTTTCATGTTTTTCATATGTCCTCAGTTGCGTCCAACACATTGCAATGCCATGGACTGTAGTCTGCCAGGCTTTTCTGTCCATGGGATGTCCCAGGCAAGAATCCTGGAACGTGTTGCCATTTCCTCCTCCAGGGAATCTTCCCAACCCAGGGGGTCAAAACCCAGTCTCCTGCATTGGTGGGCAGATTCTTTACCACTGAGCCACCTATTGCTTTAAAATTTTCCTAAAGCATACATGTCATATTATTTTCAGAACACCTTATCTAGTTTTTAACTAGGTTGAGAGACTTTTGAAGTATAGCACTGTGATTTCACTGATGAGCACTTGAGACTGCCAAGATAAAACACAGGAATCCTGCCCTTAGAAACCATATGGACCAGGAGAGCAATATGGTATATTGGAAAGAGCATAACAAGCTTTGGCCAGTATTCAGCTCCATCAAAAATTACCATCTCAGGAGTCAGTTCCCCCTTCAGTGAGTGCAGTAGAGCTCAGTTACCAGTTACATTGTTCTTACCTGCACTGCAACCCCTCAATTATGCACCAACACCTTGGTGGTCTGCTGCTGCTGCTGCTAAGTCGCTGCAGTCGTGTCCGACTCTGTGTGACCCCACAGACGGCAGCCCACCAGGCTCCCCCATCCCTGGGATTCTCCAGGAAAGAACACTGGAGTGGGTTGCCATTTCCTTCTCCAATGCATGAAAGTGAAAAGTGAAAGTGAAGTTGCTCAGTCTGCTAGTATCTTAAAAGAAAATATTTTATTTATTTGGCTGAGCCGGGTCTCAGCTGCAGCATTCAGGAACTAGTTCCCTGACCAGGGACGAAACCCAAACCCCCTGCATTGGGACCTTGGAGCCCCAGCTACTGGACCACTGGTGGAGTCCCAATCTGCTAGTATCTTGTCTACCAGTCATCTTTAGCAATAATTTTTTTAAAAATTATTAGCTAATTGTTGATGTAAGTATAATAGCAGCATTAGTCCCTCAGTTGTGTCCGACTCTTGCCATCCTATGGACTGTAGCCCACCAGGTTCCTCTGCATGGGATTCTCCAGGCAAGAATACTGGAGTGGGTTGCCATTCCCTTCTCCAGGGGATCTCCCCAACCCAGGGATCGCACCCACGTCTCCTGCATTGCAGACAGATTCTTTACCATCTGAACCACCAGGGAAACTATAGCAGATAAACCCCTAAACCATGGTGGGCTCACCCCGCAGACTTTATTTCTCACCCCTGTAAGTCTAACTGTTAGGGGAAGCACACTGATTGAAACCGCCCACCCTGGCCAGGCACCATAGTAACCATTTGCATGAGTTGTTTTATGACAGGAGATCCTGATAAGGAATGGGGGTGGGGGTGGGGAGGGCAGGCTGAAGGAGACTCCTCTGTCTTTACTCTTGGCTCTCAGGGTTGTGCTGAACATTGATACCCAGCCCTCAGATACGGGCAGAGAGAGCTGGAGTTTTCATAAGGAGGTTTCTAGGGGCCGAATCTAAAGTGGCATGCTTCTCTTCCACCCACTGGGAAATGTGGGCAGCCACCCCCCCAGCAACAAGTCTGCATGAGGGAAAGGAACCCACATCTTCGGTGGGCAGCCACCTGCCTGCACCACCTGAACCATCCTTTTTGTTTTTAGACTCTTGGTTGTCAGCGTCTGTCTGTTATCTTCTAAATCTCTCAGTTGTCTGCTGACACAGGGATTTATAGGCAAGCCCCCCTCCCCTGCCCCTGCCCGGAGGAAGGCCTGTGTACCTTCTGAAACTGCGAAAGCTGCAGACTGTGGCTCTGAAATAACTCATTCATCACCTCCCATCCTGGCGGTGCCGCCCTGCCCTCTGTCCTGGACTCCAGGCCTCGCTCCAGAAATGAATGAAATCACAGATCTGCTTTGTGCCACTTTATAAACGACCGATTTTTACTCTAGAGTTCTGCTCATTGGCCTCCAGTTCTCCCCAGTCTCCTGCCTCCGTGACACTCACACGTTGATTAATGGAGACAGTCTGGAGCATTTTGATCTTTTGGAGGAGGTGGGGCATTTTAATTAAAAGGTAGAAGAAAGCAGGTTTCCCCTTGCCCTGCCGGAAACCTGGGAAATTCTTCAGATTCCTGTTTCTGAAGGGTCAGGGCTGTTTATTCAGGGTAGAAATGTGACACAGCCCTAAATGCTTCACCTTGTGCTTTGGTCATGGACACTTGTACCCCCACCCCATCTCACACACACCCCACGTACACACACATACTCTGCACACACACCACATACACCACCTCAACATACACACACCCTGCACACATACTCTTTACACACACCTCAACATACACACACCTCACCTCACACACACCCCACATACACACACACACACCACCTCACACACACCCCCACACACATACTCTGCACACACACCACATATACCACCTCAATATACATACACCACCTCAACACACACCCCCCACATACTCCTCACACACACTACATACACACCACCTCAATATACACACACCATCTCAACGTACACACACCACACACACACCCACACACATACTCTTCATACACACCACCTCAACATACACACACACCCCACACACACACCCCACCTCACACACACCCCACACAATACTCCTCACACACACCACATACACACACCACCTCAACATACACACACCACATACACACAACCTCACCATATACACATATCCCACACACACCCCGCCTCACACACACCCCACACAATACTCCTCACACACCCCATACACACACACCACAACATACACACACCCCCACACACAACACCTCACATACACACCCCACACACATACTCTTCACACACACCACATACACACACACCTCCCACACACATATTCTTCACACATAAACACACACACTGTACACTCATATATGCCCCCACCTATCAGACACAGACCATAGAGAGCACACACTTACCACATACACACACACCTCAACATACACACACACACACACATTGCAAATATACCACATATATATCACACACACATTATATCACATACTACACACACACCCCCCACACCATACATACCAGCATGCAACACACACACATACCCAAGCCAAAAGCCTGTTTTGGGGAGTAGTAACTGGTAATTTATTTTTGCCAAACAAAGGGCAAACCGCACAGGTGACTGGGGGCATTGTGGGGAGGTCAGTTTTGTCTTGAGGATTAATCTAAGTCATTGCTGCCAGGCATGGAAGGGCAGAGGCTGGGGCCAGGGTGGACAGTTACACAGAGAGGCCCCCATCCTCACCTGTGCTCAGGTGACCCCATCACCAGAGGTGTCCAACTGCAGGGACCCCCCTCCTCTGGCAGCACCCCCCTGTGGTGGGAATCATCTGTATTGTTGATGGAAGCACAGTAGTAAGTCGGGCTCTCCTGTGTATTGAGCACTGACTTTGTGTAGAGATTGAACTTGGCAAATGGTGAGTGAGACAGAGGCCCCTAGAACTCAGCATGGCTGGCGTCCTTGCTCTCAGGTCCTGGCCCTGAGAGCTCCGTGGTCACAGGTGGGACAGGCAAGCTGAGGCACAGCCGTGGACTGGGGCAGGGGTCAGAGGTCTGGGCTGGAGCCTGTCTGGGGTGATGATAAATGTGAGCCTCCCAGAGGATGACCTTGGGGGTCAGGGAGAAGCAGAGGCAAGGGGTGGGGGTGGGGAGGTCTTCACTTCCAGATCCCATCTTGTTTTTATCCGCATGCTGGTCTTTCAGCGCAAGAGCCAGGAATGTGAGTCAGAGGCCGCTCCCCTCAGGAAGGAACTCAGGGACAGACTCCAGGTGAGGATGGAGCACCAGCTCCCCAGCACGGTCCAGCTCCTCCACATCCCCTACTGCAGCCCCACTGGCTGCCGTCAGCCTCTGATGAGTTGAGCCGTGCCCCGCGCTGTGCTCAGCAAAGTGAACCTGGAGCGAACAGGACACGATCTCCGCAGGATGGGTCCACACACTCCACACTCCCACCCACACCTCTCCGCACTGCCCCCAGCTCACTCAGCTCCAGGAACCCTGGCTTCTCTGCTGCTCCCCAGCCACACCAGGCACACGCCTGCCTCCCAAGCTCAGGCTTGGAGTCCCTCTGCCGAACAGGCTCCTCCCCAGTGCTGGTTCTCTCACCCACTTTGGTCCCCAGTCTGTGAGGTCTTCCCAGATCATTCTCTACAAAACACCACTCCACTCCCCAGCATCTCCTGCTCCTTAGCTAATAACCACACAGATTGCATATTTATCTTATCAAGTGTCTCTCCCTCCAGAAAGTCACCTTTGTGAGGGCAGGTACTCTTGTAGCCTCATTTTGTTTACTTACAGTTGTTTTCCTCTCTGTTGTATCTCAGGCCCAGAACACCATCAGGCACACAGTAGGTGCTCAGTAAATATGTGCATGAATGATTCTGGTCTTCAGTGGGCTCAGTGACCGTGAGCACCTTGTTAACCCAGCAGAGGTTTTAATCTCCTTAATCACAATGTTGACACAGTGATGCCAGCTAGTGGGTGGGGTGGGCGTCCTGGAAGGGAAATCTGAAAATAGTCTGTGGATATTTTGTAAACTGGAAACTGCTGAGCAGCCCAAAATGACAGTCCTGGGATTTCTCTGCCAGGGGAACAAAATGACAGCAGTTGCATGGTTTCCTGCTCCGCCTTTCAGTTACGACTTGTTGCCTGGGCTGCCACGGAATCAACAGAGGTAAGTCACATGGTTTTATTGGAGCACGTGAGCTTCTTGCAGATATAGTGTGTGTGTGTTTACAAGTCTTGATTGTCAAGAGCTGGGCTGACCCCAAGGGCTGTAGGCCCTCAGGAGAGGGAGCATCAAGCAAAGGCCAAGTGGAGAGTGAGAAGGCAGTGAGCTGCTGCAGGAGGGAGCACTGCGGCTTTGTTTTAAGGTTGCCAAGGGCGAGGGAGCAAAATGTGACGCAGTAAGCCTCTCATTGGCTGTTTCCCCTGAGGCAGGAATGAGAAGGAACCAAGGTTTCTGTTTGTCATAAGGCGGGGTGGGGCCGTGGGAGCCAGGCAGGGGAGACAGGTGGACAGCCAGAGATCAAAGAGAGCCTGTTGCTATGCTGGTGGCCCTGGGCTCTGACTGTGGGTCACAATGATCCTCTCTAGGCCAGAGCCAAAAAAAGAAAAAAAAAACAAAAACCGCTGGACAGTAACACAAGGCAAGACTGAGAAACAGTGACCCATGGGCCAAATCTGGCCCTCCACCTGTTTTTATAAATAAAATTTTATCACAACACTGCCATTTATGAATTTTCTGTGGTTGTTTTTGCAGAGTTCAGTAGTTGTGACAGAGACTCTATGTCCCTAAAGACTAAAATATTCATAGTCTGATCCTGCACTGAGAAAGCTTGTTGAACCTCAGAATGATGAGGGGGGACATTGAGTTTGAGGGGTCTGAAAACTTGGGTTGAGTTCTGGTGCATCTGTTTTCAATCTGGTGCCTGCAGGCAAAGCTTTCGCCTCTCCAAGCCTCAGTTTCTTCACCTGTGAAATTGTGTGGTAATGCCCATTCTGCCTAGTTGTCATGAGTATTTAATAGATAATGTATTTATTATATCTCCTTCTTTTATTTTTTGTGGGTATCTTAAATTGCAACGTGCAAGCTTAACCAATACTCATCTTCCTTGAGTTTATGTTATATCATTTTACAGTGGACAGACTGAACCCTTACAGAACTATCCTCTCCTGTCCTTCTGTCAAATTATTGTCAAATTATTTTGCTATAAATCTCATACAAATTGGTTACTATTTTTGCTTTAAAAAGAAAAAAAAATTGTCTTTTTTATTTCCCCAAATACCTACCATTTTGTGTATTCTTGATTCTTCCTGCAGATCTGGCTTTCGATCTGAGATAATTTCCCATTGGCCTAAAGAATTTTCTTTGGTGTTTCTTATAGTGCTTCTACTGGCAGTAAATTCTGTCAAGTTTGTCAGCCTTTGTTTGTGTGGGAAAAAAAAATATGTTCTCCCTCTACTTTTACTGGATATAGATATCTTGGTGACAAATTTCTTTCAACATTTTAGATGCCATTCTGTTGATTTCTGACTTTCATTGTTTCTGATGAACTTTAGCCATCATTCTTTTAGTTGTTCCACTGAAGATATGTTATTTCCTTTGGCTACTTGTAAGGTTTTCTCTTCTACTCTGTATTTCAGTGGTTTGACTACGGTATTTCCCCTGAGGATATCCACTCCCTGGATATGGTTTTCTTTGTTTTTACCCTGCTTGGGTTCATGAGATTCATGCATCTGTGAAATAGCATTCAACAATTTTAGAAGACTCTCTACTGTTAAATCTTTAGTTCTGCTGCCCCATTTTTTTTACTCCCCTCCCTTTCTGATATATCACTTACATTTATGTTAGATCATTGATGTTATCTCACAGTCTTCTGATACTCTGTTCTGTTCTTTTTTCTTTTCTTTCTTAAAAAAAAAATAAATCAAATTGCATGCATTTGTAAGAAATAATACAAACAGATCTTGTACCATTCCCCCAGTGATAACATCTTGCAGAACGACAGTACAATATCACAATCAGGATAATGATATTAATAGAATCCACCAATCTTATTCAGATTTCCTCAGTTTTACTTGTACTGATCTGGTGTATGTGTGTGCATGTGTTTAGTCGAGTGCAATTTGATCACAATGGTAGGTTCATTGTCCCCCACTGTGGTCAAGATACAGAACAGTGAGTATAAGGATCCCTCAGTTGCCTTTTTATAACCACCCTACCCCCTACCACATCACCCTATCCCTAGCCCCTGACAATAACTAATCTCTTCTCAGTCTCTATAAATTTGTCACTTCAAGAATGTTACATAAATGGAATCATATGGTATTTAACTTCTAGGACTGGCTTCTTTTTTTTTTTTTTTTAGCTCAGCACAATTCCCTTGAAGTTCATCCAAGTTTTTGCATTTATCAGTAGTCTGTTCCTTTTAATTACTGAGATGCATTCCATGGTATGTACATACTCTCTTTAGGACATCTAAGTTGTTTCCAGTTTTTAGCTATTACCAATAAAGCTATGTATGTATAGGCTTTTGTGTGAACATAAGCATTTATTTCTCTGGGGTAAATGACCAAGACTGTAATTCCTGGGTCATATGAATTATATATTTACTTGCATGTCTTTGAGTTCATCGATTCTTTCTTACCCTGTGCCTAGTCTGCTGTTAAACTTATATAAGGAATTCTTCATTTCTGATACCATATACTTTAATTCAAATTTTTCCATTTGCTTTTTTAAAATAGGTTTTCATTTTTCTACTGCATTAGTCATTTTTTCCTATATTTGTCTATCTTTTTACATAACTTCTTAAACATATTTAAAGTTATTTTAAATGCCTCATCTTTAAAATGTTCCAACACCTGAGTGTCTGTGTGTGTTTCTGTTATGTTTCTTTTCTCTTGATGGATCACATTTTCCTGCTTCTTCATGTGTCATAACTTTTTTCTTTTTACCGTATGCTAGGTATAGTTATAAAAGCACACTAGAGGATGAGGTGGGTAGTAGCCCTCCCAGAAAGGACTTATTAACTCTTCATGGACTCAGTCATAGCTTTGGTAGTTTCAGTTCACTTAGTGTCAAGTCTTGAGTGGGTATCAGGCCCCTCCCTCCAGCAGAGATGGCCTCTGAACAGGTGGCTAAGGAGATCTGGCAACTCTGAACATTATCCCCAGGGACTCTGCCAGAGGCCAACCTCTCTTCACCTCTGAGGCTTCCCTCCAGGAAACCTTCCTGGAGCCTTTTAGCTACGTTAGAGTTCTTCCCCTACCACCGCCACACACACCTTCCTCCATGCCTTTGCCCCATTGCTTTGGAATGACCTGGATTTCTACTCTCTCCTGCCCCAACTCCATTCCCTCAACACATAGGCTCCTTAAAAACAAGGGTTGTGTCTCATCCTTCACTATTTCCCCTCAATAGATAGTGGTTGTGAATTGGGTAAAAAATGAACACTTCCTAAATTATTTTTGAATGAACAGACAGATGTCTGGATGAGTGTGTTACCAGAGGGGTGTAGGGTCGACACGGCATTTAGAACAGAATTTTGCACTGGGTCTTCAGTCAGGCCCAGAGCAAAGAGGTCCTTGATCTGTACACCCAGCCCTTCTGAAAGACCCAGCTCTGCCAGGTGGTTAGGAAGAGGAGCAACAAAGTGACCAAAGGCAGGGACGTCAGCACTGACCTTGCTGGGCAGGTTTTGTGGATGGCTGTCCTGGGAGGAGAAGCATATTGGAGCATTCTGTGCCTATCTAGATGGAACTAGGGAATTCCCTGGAGGAAGGAAAGATGTAGGCATTGAATCCTATGGAGGAGGACTGGATGAGAGTGGGTGTGAGCAGCAGGTGACCCAGAGACGGCTTCCTGACGTCCTCACTGACCGCAGGCACATTGGCACCTGCCCGGTTTCACTCTGTAAGCTTGTTTCCAAGAACGTTTCCACCAGTATACGTGCCAGAGTCACATGATGAAAATGAGGCTGGACAGGCCACCCATTCTGGTGGGAATCAGTGGTCCTCAGGTCTTAGTGGTGGGTTCCCAAGAGTGATGGTGGATCCCCTGACACTCAAGACAGAAGCAGTAGCAGCCGGATGATGTCCAAGTGAGATGGCAATGTACTGTGGGGGGTGGGGGGGATGATGAGGACAGTGGGAGAGCTCCAGCTTCTGAGAGGGAGTGGGAGTTGGTAAACACTGGGAGGTGGGGTGGTCCCAGCAGAGGGGATAGCCTGTGCAAATGCTCGGTGACAAGAAAGTGCTCAGCATCATCGAGGAACTGCAAGGCATGAGTGACTAGAACAGAGTGAGTAAGGGCAGGGGACCCTGAAGAGGTGGGTGGCAGCCCGTTTGGCCATGTTAAAGATCCTGGTTTTGTTTGAGGGTGATGTTGTTTGCAGTTCAAGAATATTGACTACAATGGATATTGTTTGAAAAAATGAGTGAGTGGCTAAATGAACACATACTATCAAGTAAAGAGATGAGAGGCACAGAGACATAAAAATGGAGACCTACACGGGACAGTGAGACTTCCGTTGAAGCCAGAGGTGCTGAGAATTTCTCTCCCCCAGGGTCCTGGCCTGCTCCTGCCAAGTCACAGGAGAGGGGAGGGAAGCTCTGCTGAGTGCCACCGTCTGTGACTCTCCACGGGAGACCCGCTTCTCGACCTTCCCAGCTTTTCCTGCCAGGTTCCTCCTTTCTGTTCAGGGAGAAGACTCCCACGTGCAGGAGCAGCAGGGCCTCTGAGCTCCAGGGCAGCACTGAGAGAGCTGAGACCCAGAGACGTTTCTTCTCTAAACACTGCCCCTGAATAAGGCACCCACACCTGCAGAGGCACCACCCAGCCTCAGAGGACAGTCAGGGTGCTTTACTGTAAAGGGCAGAAGGGCGGTCCCTCCACCCTCCACTTTCCTGCCTGTTCCTCTCAATTTGGAGGCCAGATATGGGCCCGTTTCTCCATATAGACTCTGTCTGAGGTCTGCACACACTTGAAGAAGGAGTGTAGGGTGCATTTTCCGCTAAGGTGACCCACTGCTGCCCAGGATATGACAACACTTTATCATGACTTTTCATCCGGGCCTCCACCCTCTTCTCCGTGTTTTAAAATTCATTCCTGAGCATCACCACCTGGGGTGAGGGTTTAGCTGGGAGTGTTCTCACTGATTTTTATTTTTTTATTAATTGACTAATTTTGGGTGTGCTGGGTCTTTGTTTCCAAGAGCGGGATTTCTCTAGTTGCAGTGAGCAGGGGCTACTCTTCGATGTGGTGCCATTGTGATGTCTTCTCTTGTTGGGGGACCCGGGCTGTAGGCACATGGGCTTCAGTAGTTGCAGCCTCTGGGTTCAGTAGTTGTGGCACATGGACTTAGTTGCTCTGCGGCATGTGGATCTTCCCAGAGCAGGGGTTGAACCCATGTTCCCTGAATTGGTAAGCAGGTTCCTATCCACTGTACCACCAGGGAAATCCGTGTTCTCACTGATGTTTGAATCCAGAAGCCCTAGGAGCTTGCCTCCCTCCCCAGCCACACCCCACCCAGCTCGTGAGCTCAGCCACACCCTCTTTCAGTTCCTGAAGGGTGAGCACTGCCCCGCCACCTGCTCGGTCCAGATGCCCAGCCACCCTTCTTCTGGTCCTTCCCCTTGGCCTCCGACACAGTCCTGGTTGAAGCGTCAGCTCCTGGCAGAGTCCTCCCTGACTACTCCACTCCTCACCTGTCCCTCATGCCCGATCGCTTTCGTAGGAACCTGTTCTTTGTCTTCCCCCGCACTTTTTACAACGCGTGATTCTCCATCCATTGTGTGACTGTCCCAGGCTCATCTGTCTCCTGTTAGCTGGGGGCTCCCCCAGGCCAGGAGCACATCTACTTCATTCCCGAACCTTCCCTGGCACTGAGCACAGGGCAACACTGACTAGGTGCAACTAAATAATTGTTGAATGAATGAATGAGCTGTTATTACAACGCTTTCACCAGCGTGCCTCACCGTGGGCCTCTGCAGTATTATTTTCCAGGGCTGCCATAACAAAGGACCACAAACTCTGCGCTTTAAGCTACAAATACCTTTTCTCTTATGGTTCTGGAGGCCTGAAGCCCCAAGTCAGGGTTGGCAGCCAGGCCATGCCCCTTCCGAAGGCACTACGGGAGAATCTTTGCCTCGTTCTAGTTTCCGGTGGTTGCCAGCAATCTCCTCATTCCTCACTCGCCCTCGGATTGCTCCAGCCTCTGCCTCTGTCTTCACATGGCCTCTCCTCCTGGCTTCTGTGTCTCTCCTCTTCTTGTAGCGACACCAGTCAATGTTGGATTTGGAGCCCACCCTGCTCCGGTTTGATGTCACCTTTTTAAAAATATGAATTTTTTTGGCTGTGCTGGGTCTCAGTTGCAGCTCGAGGGGTCTTTGATCTTCGTTGTGGCATGCACGCTCTTTAGTTGTGGCACTCGAACTCTTAGATGTGGCATGCGGGATCTTGTTCCCTGACCAGGTATCGAATCCTGGGCCCCCTGTATCGGGAGTGCAGAGTCTTAGCCACTGGACCACCAGGGAAGTCCGTGGTTTGACATCCCTTTGACTGAAGACATCTGCAACGCCTCTATTTCTAAATACTGTCGCATTCTGAGGTTCCAAGAAGGACGTGAATTCAGGGGGGTGGGGTTGATCAGCCCAGCGCAGGTCTTCAACTGCTCCTTCCTGTCTGGTTTCTCTAACCTCCTGCCCACGTTCCACACGCCGCCACTCCCACACCTCCCCATAGTGGTAAAATAACCGGGTTACCCCACCCTCCCCCTCTCCCATCCCTCTTCTCTAGTCTCCTGGCACCCACAATCCCCGGTTAAAGTCACGTTCCCCGACAAGCAGGAGGAAGGGCTGCCGACTGTGTGCCAATGCCCTTTGCGTTCCTCAGTATGAGGTCACTTGTCCCCTCACACTGGAACGTGGGGATCACCAGCTCACCCAGGCGCCCGTCATGGGGACGCACAGCGACTTGGGTGGATGGATTAAGACAGGCTGGGGCTCAGCGTCAGCGTGCTGCAGCCAGCACCAAGAGGCATGGGGATGCCACGTGCAACCCTTG